GGGGAATTCAATTAGCGTCAAAGAAATGAAACATTGAGATTTAGCAGTGCTTATCAGAGAAGTTGTTTAAGGGTACGTGGGGGCGGGGCCAGGGAGGGGACCTGGCAAGCAATCAACTTAAGCACACTAGTGGCGATTGCTTGGAAAGTGTACTGAAGTTGTTCAAAAATGGAGACCAGCTTCAAGTTTTTTGCTTTGTAAACCTAATTAGCATTTTATTTATATTCTTGAATGTAAATAAATCATAATTTCCTAGGTGTAACCAGCTGTTAACGTAAAAAGAATGATTATGATCCCTTCAATTGTTCAAGTTTTGACATTATACTAATCATTTACATTATTTTTAAATGCTTATGTATTCTACAATTAAAAAAGTACTTACTCTTAAAAGATACTAATTAATTTAACAATTAATAAATTGTACGGTACAATAATTCATATTGTTTTTAGAAATACTTGCATAACATTTCGAGCGCTGTGTACACTTCAAAAATGCATAATTTGAAAAAAAATTAATGAATGCATTACTAATTTAATTAATTAATTAAATGTATTACTTTAACAAATATTTTTTATTGCAGGCTCAATAATTCATATTAAAAAATGTTTACAACTTAAAAACGCTATGCATATAAAATGGTAATTATTTTTAAAAGTAAATAAATTTGCAAATGATTTAATTAATGAATTTAATCAAATGTTTCAAAAAAAGGCATTAAGGCATTGTCTCCCGAAGCTCAGTGATGCTATCAAATCGGAGAAAAAATCTGCTTTAAAAATAATGTTACATACCCAGGGGCAAAATAGTTTAGCGGCTCTGTTATGCGTGGCCGGGAAAATCTATGCAGTGCGCAAGTTTAAACTTGCGTGCGCAATTTGTAGCAAGGAAATGAATGCCCGCGCAAGTTTAAACTTGCGCGCGCAAGTTTAAACTTGCTCCGGGCTCGAATTTCATGAAAAAAAACACTAGACAACAGGTCTAAATGGAGATTAATAAAAGGTTTCACTTCTGCTTACGCTTTCATTTTTTAATACACTTGTCAGTTGGTTCATCACTTAATTATACTTGGAAAATGGAGTTAATAAACGGCACATAGAAATGATAAAGCAACTGAATGTTTGTTTTCAGATTCATTAAAATTTTATGAAAATTGTCAGCCTGAACTATTTCCATTGTACTACGCAAAAATGGCTACACAAAACTTGCCTTAAGTGTTATCGAAAATATTTGCCGTCAATAATCTTAAAAATAATGGCAAATGCAGGTCAAATATACCTTGTGCACAATGCCAGTCACGATGAGAAACTGGCAATGTCTGAACTTTGCTTGGTACGAGCGTGCGATGATGCATTGTGTGTTGTTGACCGGCAATGGGCCGGCAATAGCTTCATTTTACGGTAGGAGATTTCGGTGAAACACGCTGCATCGTTTCACTTCAAATACCAGTAGTATTTCCTCGAAATAAATTCATGAACAAGGGAAATACATACACAGACAAGAGAGATCAAGTTCTGTGAATATAAGCTTGCAAAGATCGTCTTTGTCATCGATGTTTTCTTGGCATTTTTACGATGTCTATTCCGTCCAGCCTGCATGCAAAACACTGTACTATACTGCAGTGTGCATGCACCGCGCGCGACTTTTGCATTGACTGGTTACCGCATTTCCATCATGCCTTCTTTGGCCCTTAGTGCGCGGCGCAGCGGGAACCAGTCACTGCTGCACTAGCACGTACGGGCCCACGTGCTTATATACATGTACTGACTACTGTACATCGATGCAGCTCTGTGTACACATACGCATGTCTGCAACTGCCATGACTGCCGCGTTGGCCAAGCAGCTTCGTTGCGTTTCGGCACGGCACAAGGAGTTTTTAGGTCGGTAATTTTAATCAATCAAGTAATGAACTCGGAGCACGCTAATCAGACCTCAACTGCTAGTATACTTGGGCGTCATTTTGCTTAAATAGTGCAAGAAAAAAAACACTAGACAGCCGGACTAGTGCAGTCACACACAGCACTAGACCGACGCTAAAGTTACTAGACACGGTCCAGTGGATATTTCGAGCCCTGGAGGCCCTCGGGGGACTCACTTTGCGCTCGACAGCTCTACACAGTTGGCACAATGGGTTCGCTCAAGCGTGCACTGAATAGAGCAATTGGCTTGAGTTACTGGCTGAAGATGCTGAAAATCTTGATGAAAATCACTCCAGATTTCACTCACCCTGTCTGGAATTTCTTGATGAAAGTGATCAGTTTGATCAGTGATCAATACTCTGTCATGTGGTATATAATTTAACCATGGAGGTAGTTTCCTACCTCCATGATTTAACTCACTTTGAGAGCTATGGACAGCAAGACTAAGTACAAAAGTGAGAGCACAGCACAAGGCTTGCATGCTAGTCGCCATCCTGTCGCAGAGTGATAACAGTTTCTGGTAACTTGCGCGAAAACACGCTCGGTCATTGGATTAGCGACCGCGCCTTCAAGTAAGTGCGCGTGCGTATGAGGGTGGTTACTAAGCAAATCGCGCGTGCGCACTGCATATTCATGCTGCATAGTCTGGCCCCCGCGGACCAGACGTGATATGAGCGTCGAGAATAATTGTCCGGTCTATATCTAGGGAACCAGACTACACGCTGCTCAGACGTACATCATGAATAGACTCGGCGGTGAGAAACTGATGAAAAGAGTCTACAAACACGTACAAAGATGGTAGCGTCGGTATCACACTGGGAGGAAGGTACACTTATCATAATTTATGCTTACGTCACCATTTCGCCACGGAGGTCATTTGGCATCACTGGAAACATGAATGGACCGATCCAGTAAGCACCGCCCCACCCAGTGGGCAAAATACGTTGAAATAACGTTGAAACAACGTCAGATTCCGACGTTGAACTAACGTTGAATAATGATTGAATTTGAAAGTTGATCTGACGTTGAAATGCTGACGTTGAATCAACGTCAACAGTTCAACGTTGATTTAATGTTGAAAATTTTACGTTGATTCAACGTTGATTAATGATTGAATTTGCAAGTTGATCTGACGTTGTTTTGCTGACGTTAAACCAACGTGGAAGGCACAACGTTGAATCAACGTAGATATTTCAACGTTGATTTAATGTCGGATATTCTACGTTGATTCAACGTTGATTAATGATTGAATTTGCAAGTTGATCTGACGTCATTATGCTGACGTTAAACCAACGTGGAGAGCACGACGTTGAATCAACGTAGATATGTCAACGTTTATTTAATGTTGGAGATTCTACGTTGATTCAGCGTTGATTGATGATTGAATTTGCAAATTGAAGCGACGTGGAAATGCCGACATTGAAACAACGTTAAGATCGCAACGTTGAGTTAACGTAGACATTTCAACATCGATTTAACGTCGACATCTCTACATTGAAATAGCACTGACATGATGTTCAATCAACGTATAAATAATCAACATTAAATGACATCCTATTCTTAGAAATATCACAGTTAAATAAATGCAATTCTTGAATCAACATATGTTAAGGTTTTTGTTAAGATTTAAAGCCAGAATGTACTGATAATGGTGGATGTTTGGCATTTTTCCAATCGTTCTACGTTAAATAAATTTGCAAGCTGAGGAGTGTTGTTAAATCCATGTCGAAATTGAAAAACTTTAAATTTAAATGAAATTCTTTATCAATCACTTTAATGTTTTCCATAAAAAAATGTATGTATTTATTAATTAACTTCCAACCTTATCAGCTTATACAACACCTTTTAGGTTTCAACAAAGTAGTAATTAATCCATACATAGTAAAATTCAGAATTAGATTGACTTGTTCCAACAGCATTAAAGCCTAAATGAGGGTACTAGTCTCTAAAAAGATACATGATGATGAATTTGATTCTTTTTTCAAAGAAATGCAGCACTGCCCAGTGCATTTACATCGGAAATATAACACGAGTTAACAAGCATACAGGTACAATTTTTAAACGTCTAAATTCACTTTTTTTCATTTGCATACAATTCATATTAGTTTTCCAAATTTACCTGCAGCACTATTCTATCATATCTATGAATTTTCTTGTGAAATATTGCAAGAGGTTATGCGGCAGACTTGGGCAAGAGCATTAGAATCTATCAAATAGAAAATAATAAAACAAACAGCATTATTCATACAAAATTAATCTAAATGATTCAATTGAACATTCGAACAGGTCAACCAAGAATCAACAGTAATAACTAAATAATGCACAATACATGTACTGTATATAATTATTATAACAGTCCCCCACTTCTCGAACGTGGAAGTTTCAAGATGAAAAGTACAAGATGCGGCAGAGGTTGAATTTCCATCACTTAAAGAGCCTTTACCTGTTACACTTACGGAAAGATACCAGTCACTCCAGAGCAACTTACTGTATTTGAACAATTACTATTAATCAACTGTTCCAATATTGAAATATTTAACATAGTCCAAATGTACGACTGAACGTGAAGGTGCATGGGCCCTCAGTGTGTCCCTCCATCACCTCTTCTTTCAGGCGCAAACTTGACAGGAGATGAAAAACTCAACAAGCAGCAACATCCATCACCTTGCCCGATTACGAAGTTACTAGACCTCGCTAGAAAAGACAAATAAAAGATAATGCAATATTTTAGAATTGCAAGCTTCCTCCCCAACCATCTCTTTATTTATTGACACAACCAAATCACCCTCAAAAACGAAAATGTTACAAACACAAACAGAGAGAAATACATACATAAACCATATTAGTTTCAACAAAGCGACAACACGTTTGGTCATCATTTTATGTGCTGACATTGTGTACAAAAAATCAACAGAATGATTCCTTTTATTAAACCTGCACTTATAAAACCTACCACTTGTATTTCCTGACGCTTCAGCAATTATCAACCATACAACCAAGTACCCACACAATGAGATTTTAACCAAGATCAATAATTGGTCAAAATAAATTAAATCTGGCGAAGAAAAATAAATTACCTGCGAAACTGAAAACGTCCGTCTCCTCATCTGCTTTCTTTCAGTTCCACTCTGCCCATCATTGTTGAACTGTCTTCAATCACTTGGTCATGCACCTGTTGGATGAGAAAAAAAACAACGCTCAGAGACAAAAGCAAAGACCCATCAGGAAAAAAAGATAACGGAAGAGTGTAAACAAACACAAGTTATTATACAATGCACTGTGACGAAACTTCAGCCAACACTCAATTAAGATATAGCCACAAATCTGTTTTCATTTTTGCGTTTTGTTAACGTTTTGAATGAACTGGCCATTGTGTCTGTTGTTCGCACAAGTATAAATGGATTTGAATATCACTTTTTTTTTATGTGCGATGACTGCAATCAGAGCTATATCTCTGCAAGTGTTATTGACTTAAGAATAAAATTATCGGTTTTTGCCATAATAGTTAGCCATGAATTTTTTTTTTGTCGGCATATACATACCAGCTACGGCACTGCGAGTACTGTCCGAAAGCTTTCAAACTGAAGTATCCTGGAAAGTCATACATAACTCCTCCATACTGGTTCGACAATCCATGCTGACTTTGGCTCCTCCTAAATTCCTGTATGAATCATTGCTGAGTGGGGTTTCGTCATCTGTGAGGTCTTGTAAACTCTTCTGGAATTTTGAAAAGGATTTTTTTCTTCAGAAGCTGAAAAAGTGAGATTAACTACCCTACCGGGTACCTGTCCTACCTGCCAAACTTAGACTCTACATACTCCCCAAAAAATATGCAAACCATGTCTAGTATCTACACAAAACAAAAACAAGTTTATGTAGAAATACCACCTGCCTATGCAATGATTGATTACTTAGGCCAATACATTTACGTAATTACTCACTCCCTGCACCGTGAGTCCATTTTGTTATTGCACCATTCACAGCACAGGTCACAAACATCGGTATAATTATCCATGCTTGCATTTATTACCTAAAGTTTTGGTACAGAAATTTGTGTTATGCATTCTCACTATTGTCACAGCAACTTTTAGTTTTACACAAAGGATCAAGGAACTACCCAGCAACTTTCTCCGTTTTGTGACTTGTACATGTACATGAGCACCGGGGTGGTGATAGCAACATGTGAAATCGAAATCGGGAGTGTTTATCCCCCACTTGATAGGCCTATTCCCTATGGAAGATAACCCACCTGGTTTAACAATCAGGGGAAGTAAAACGGTATAATGTACATGACCCATGACCTATCACCGCTGTGTAGCTGTACGAAGAAATCCAGTATGGCAGTAATTGACCTCGAGAAAAATATACTGCATTCTACAATCACTTTTGGACGATCCATTTTTACTTTTTAGCCTGAAAATTACATGAAAACTGAAACTCTACAGTACAGAAAATCGAATTATATTTTTCCTGGTTATTATTTTTTTTAACCAGGTAGGCTTAAGTACATTTCATCATCATGCATTTCATGTCCATAAGGTCTACCAAGTGAAAAAAATTGCAATTTCTATTTCCTCAGAAACAACTTTTCAATACAAAGGAAATCCAGTAATTGAGCCACATTTATTCATGGTAACAATATCGTCTTGGAAAGTTTAAGTCACACGTCCATTATACTGTACAGTTTAAAACGCCAATGGAGGATTATTTCTCAGGATTTCTCTCACTACTTTTTCCCATTGAACCCGTTTTAGAACAGTTAAGCAATACACTGTTCCGAGTGCCGGGATGCATGCGGTCGACCTGGTTCCCATACATACCGGACGCCGGTATCATCAGTGACCATGCATGCCAGTGTCCCCGACCCCAGTGATGTGTCAATATTTGTTTATCGTTTTGGGGAGAAATTGGTTGCAATTAATAAGTAAAGTGCTTCGAATAAACTTCAGGTATGTCTAAGCAACATCATAACAATAACTACGAATTTTGATGGCAAAATTCTTACCTGTTATTTGAGTAAAATGATGTCGGCTGCACGTTACACGTCCACACAACTGCAGTATGATGTCGAAATATGTAACGGTCATATGCTTGCGCGCCATATCATGATTCAAAGAGTGTACATGAAAACTGATTGGCCAGCGTCACAACCTTGGAATGTAGAACAAATTACGCGCCGTGTGATTGGCTAGCGTCACAGCTTTGGCGTGCTGACAAATAATTTGTTTTCATAAAAAGGCCACAAAGTTCAATTAAGTCGGCTATTTTGTTTATATTTCTTGACATGATATTTTGCACTTTAGTTAAAATTATATGTCAATTGATACAGCAGGACTGACGTTGAAGTAACCGCGAGGATACTCAATTTCAAAGCAATGCAATATGTTTGAATGCGACGCACTTAATTTCGACATTTTTTCAACTTTGGACTAATTAAAATCCGTATGTTAAACAAAGTTTACCAAACCGACGTTGGTACATTTAGGTCGTTATCACGACGCAAATTTAAGCATTTATCCAACATTAGAATAATGTCAAAATACGTTGAAACAATTACAAAACTGACGATTGATAGACATTGAATTTAACATTGTTAATATCGTGACGCAATTTAAACGTATATTCAACCTCAGATTAATGTTCAAATCTGTACGTTGGAACAACGTTACCAAACCGACGTTGAATAGACATGGAATTTCGGTTGTTAATATCGTGACGCAATTTAAACTTTTATTCGACGTCAGATTAATGTCGAAATCTGTACGTTGGAACAACGTTACCAAACCGACGTCAGAGAGACGTTAATTTTAGGTTGTTAATATTGCGACGCAATTTTAACATTTATCCAACGTTAGATTAATGTCGAAATATGTACGTTGGAACAACGTTACCAAACCGACGTTGGATAGACATTGAGTTTTGGTTAATAATATCGCGACGCAATTTCAACCAACATTTAACGTTGGATTAATGTCGAAATATGGACGTTGAAACAACGTTACAAAATCGACGTTGGCTATACATTGAATTTAGGTTAATAATATCGCGACGCAATTTCAACCAACATTCAACGTTGGATTAATGTCGAAATATGGACGTTGGAACAACGTTACAAAACCGACGTTGGATAGACATTGAATTTAGGTTGATAATATCGCGACGCAATTTCAACATTTATTCGACGTTAAAACAACGTCAAACTGTAACATAAAATCAACGTCGCAAATGTGACGTTGAAATAACGTTGTTTTACGGTATTTCGACGTCGTGACGTCATTTCAACCAACATTCAACGTTGAAACAACGTCATGTGCCCACTGGGCATGGTGTTCTGACCAATCACAGCCGTGGTTTATGTCCGACGTGCGCGTGCACTAAAGTCCGACATGCGTGCACGCGCGTATGATGCGCGCGGAAGGAACATGCAGCGTGGCATTGGAGAGGAGCACGTGTTAATTTGCCCACGTGCGCACTGGGCGGAGCAATGACCCTAGAAACCTGTTTCGTCAAAAAAAGCAATTGTGCATCATTCTGACTGCTTGGAACAACGAAGAAATTGACACAGAATACTTGTTTCAACAACTGTCAACAACAAGCTCTAGTCATTAGCAATTCGCAAACAATATATGATTGATAAAATCCACTTCTTTTTTTTTTAAAGATGGGCCTTCAAAAGAACTTTGTTGAATATTTTTAACTTTTAAACTGAGGTTCAAGTTATTTCTCAGTGGTGATGTTTGACGAAGTTGCAATCAGGTTAGTTGTTCAATTAAGCAGCGGCCGGCCAAGTTAAGATTTTTAGCACTTTTGTTGCAAACGAAAAAGTTGATGAGCATCACTGACATTACTTTACGGCCACGTACAATTCCTTATATGTTTGCATGGACATGGATATCAAAACTGAAAGTTTCTTTAAAAAGGAACGGGAATAATATTGTATCAAGATCCTCTATCTACAAAAATGAATAAACTAGAAAGAAAAAATGCATTGTCGATGTCGTTTTTGTTTTTATGCCGTTCAAATGTAATGTAATTTGATCAGGGCCGGTTACTGTGCTTGCCCGCCGCGTTGTCCTTTTTTGAGTATCCTGAGGCAATCTCGTCAGTGTTTTAATAAACAGATCTATTTAACCATAAATTGATACAGCAACAGATTTGCTTTCTGAAGGCAATGATTTATTTCTTCCTTTCGTTTCATCTTTGCCCGTAGCTGTACTAATAATGTTTGACTCGCCAAACGGGCTAGTTCGACCATGGGGGAATAAACCGCCGCTATCTTGACGGTCAGCTTTGCTATCGTTTGCATACGAGCCAGCGCTTTCATCTGGCGCACGCCTCGGCCGTTGGCACGGATCTGCATAATTCATGTTCTAGCAACGTCATGCGACCTGCTCATCAACTTGGTGACGTAGGCATAAATTATGATAAGTATACCTTCCTCCCAGTGTGATACTGGCGCTACCAAGTTTAACGTTGCTTTCGAGTTTATTTTCCAGATTAAGGTCGGTCAGCATCGCATATGGAATTCCTGAACCCATCAACCCAACAGATAAGGACACATAGAATACTACGACGTAAAAATTAGCTTCTCCAACAAGGTAAAAATATTGAAATTATTGGTCAGAAATGTTTTCGTTCGGTTTTGAGCACTTTTTACCCAGGACTCCCTCCGTAACGTAGGGAGGAAAGGGCGTCCACCAGCCCACTAGCCATGGGCTAGCCCATGGCTAGCCCCATAAATGTGGCCTATTTACTGGACTGCCTCCGTAAACATAGGCCACACATCCACATGTACAAAAAACGTGTCGACTTTGCCAAATTTTGATTTTCACATTTAGGCTTAGTTTGTAGGTTTTTTTGCTTTAGAAGCATACTCACCCTCTTTATAGGCTAATCAGAAAGTGCTGCCTTTTTCAGATGTATATTTTTCGTGAAATTTCCAGATTCATTTTTACACGTTTGCGTATCAAAATTTCAACATGAAATTTCACAAAAATTCAGTAGACATCTGAAAAAGGCAGCACTTTCTGACTAGCCTATAAAGAGGTACTCCTAGAACTATGAGGCTCCACGTAGATAGAGTCAGAAGCCCGCAAAATTGTTGTCAACACAAAACACTAATTAAGTACAAAAACGTCCATTCCAAATAAGCTATTTCCCACAGAACCGCTGCACAGTTTGCCCCTAAACTCCGTACAATACCTCATGACATACTCACGTTATGTGCACCCAACAAACATCGGTGGATTCTGTCTGTTTTAAGGCCAAAATGATGAAAAATATGCCCTTTCGGCACTGAGCCAACCTAACAGTAACACTTGAAGCGAGCACGCGCGCTGATATCGCAGTCATTTTCGGGTTCGATCGCTCGGAGCGCGCCGCGGGGGGGGGGGGGGGGGGGGTACGTACTTGCACTTGTACGCATGCGCATACTATCAATCCGCGCCTACACCATACCCCCCGCGGCGCGCTCCGAGCGATCGAACCACTGATCTCTATATAAAGACTGGATAGCGGATATGCATACAACATTCACACAGTAGACTTTGCATATTGACCAATTCGCCCCCGGTCTCACGAAGATGGCCGCGTATAATACGAACGTTCTACGCGTAAATACGCGCGCGTTGTATCAACAGTTGACGCGCATTTTGGTCACGTACACATATTATGATGTTCTAAAAAGGACACATTTCCGTAGTGATTATTATTTCAAAAACGCCGAATAAGTGATTTGCGGCATTATAAAAGTAACCACGACGTTAGAAAAATTGTAGTAAACCTTGGTCAGTTGGTCAGTGGTGGTGGCCAAAATATAAGTCAAGTGAACCGCGACGTTACAAAAGAAATCATGCTGTCTATAAAGACGGCAACTTGTCCTTTGTAGATCACCAGCCGGTCTCACCAATATGGCGTCAAATTCGTACATTGTGCGGCTCTTTATTAGCTATCCAGTCTTTATATAGAGATCAGTGGATCGAACCCGAAAATGACTGCGATATCAGCGCGCGTGCTCGCTTCAAGTGTTAGGTTGGCTCAGTGCGGAAAGGGCATATTTTTCATCATTTTGGCCTAAAAACAGACAGAATCCACCGATGTTTGTTGTCAGACCTTAAAATTGTGAATTAGAATTTGCACACAAAACATTATCATTCAGTACTGTTTTTTATTTCTCTATGGTCTATGGTAGTGTGTTATATTACAGGGACAAAGGGATATAAACACAATGCCTTGTCTTCGAGAGTTATGTAAAGAACGACTGTGTGTGTTTACGAGTTGCTCGACGAGCCTCTTGCCCATGAAGCGAGCAACAGGCGGCAAAGCCTACACACCCCATGTAGTGGGCGAAGTGAAGCGTTGTATTGAAGACTTTTTCGGGAATTATCAGAAGTCCAGATATATATGTGGGCAACACATCTTGTGATTTTGATCAAAACTGCAACCATTTCAAAATTTAACGCCAAATTGAAAGTTGCTTTGTTATTGGCTACTAGACATGTGATGTTTAAAGTATACGTTTGAACAAACTTTTAAGTTGAAGTAAGTAGCTAAATATTTTACAGTTGTAATATGAATGTGTTAACTTAGCAAACGTGATATTTATTTTTATAGAATGTGTAGAATTAAAGTGTGTGTATATTATCTAAATTACATTCATGTACACTGTTCAGGATCAGAAATCATTCTGTGTGTTTCTTGTCAAGCACCTGTTTGTAGTATGTAGAATTCTTTCAGTTTGATGGAAAGATACATGTACCTGTACACAAGTATGTAGGACCATGTTCATGTACACTTTATGGTGTATATATATGAAAGACATAATTTTTCCATTTCATATTTTCATATTTTTATGCACAAACAACAATGCAGCAATTTTTGTAATTTTGTTACCGAAGCAAATCTGATACACGGAAGTTTAGCTCTTTCATTTGGTCCTGTAATATTTTTGCACAAAATTTCTTTGAGATATTTTTTTGCTAAAATTTCAAAATCATTCCATTTAAACTGTGCATTCCATTTTGCTATGTTGTTATTTTGTAAAAAACACATTTTAAAAGTTGTGAATTTAAATAATGTTATATTTTCACATGCTTTATGCACATGTCATCAATTTTTTTATATCAAACTGCCAAAGCACATTTAAGTGGGTGGCGTTATTTTTGTAATTTATCAAGCAATTTGAAATTTGAAATCATTCCTTTCATAAGTGGTACTTAAATATTTTTGTCAAAATATCATCATAGATTGCAAAATATACTGATGTAATTTCCATAAACATTTACATGT